TTATTTCAGAGCCGCGGCCTAATCGACAAGACACCGAAGCTGCAAAAAACAAAGGTCAACGTCTCCCTAAAAGTATCGAAAAATCGTGCGAAGGAATTTCCAAAAAAAAACAAAAAAACAATGTCCCAGGTTTTTAAATAAATTCCGCGGGGCCCGTCTATAAATCCGCCGCGGTACGGGAACTATTTAAATAATTCATTCTGCCGCGGGCTGTCGAAAAATGCCGGTATCTGCCTTCCGACGCCCGGCGTTGACCATCAATTACAGGGGAAAATTGATAAACTGCCTTGCACAGTCTACAATTAATCTCTACAAATTCGTTAACGCGAAAACGTGACCGCGCATTCGAGAGCGGGCTCTCTCTAATTTCGATGTGGAAAAAATAATATCCGCTCGTTAAAGAGTCACGTAGAATTGTCCGTTCGACGCGCGGCACACGACGCACGACACGACACGTTACAACCAACGTTACAACTTATACACAACCGAGTTACACACCTTTCGAACGGGCACGCTCTCGACGATCTCGAGGCGATGAAATACGGCGCCGCGATCTTCGGACGCGCACGGGTCTGTCCGCTTTAAAACGCGCGCTACGTTCCGCCGGGCGAAAGAAAAGTTCGCCCCGTCGCCCGAGACGAATTCCAATGTTTCCTTCCTGCGGCGGCGGGGAGACGGAAAAGGGGGAAAAAATTGTCTTTTTTCGAGAACTGGTTTCGGAACTAAGAAACTCGTCCCCGATATAGGAAACGGAGTGGCCCGAAGGATTTCAGCGTCCGGGGAAAGGAGCGCGCTTCGCGGGCCCGTCTGTTAATTTCATGCGAATAAATATCGCATCCATCATTTTCTCATCCTCTACCGACCTCCTCTTATTCGTTCCGAATGGGAAAAACATTTCGAACGGTCCGAACGGAATCGACCTTCGAACACTCTTGAACAATTCATTCGATATTTGAGCCGCTCATTTTGAAAGTGGCATAAGTCACTTTTTGTTTTTAAGTCGATATATTCAAGGGTTTGCGTTTTATAACACGTTTAAAAATATGGATGCTAACTTTCGAGAAGATTTACTTGTATTTGTTATCTCAGGATACTGAGATATTTTTCTCGGTATAAATAATTTCGTACAAACGTTAAAAAATCACCACTTTTCATTATGGTGAAGTGACTTATGCCACTTTCAAAATAAACGGTTTCATCGCGAACGCATTTTCGACGTTTCAGTACCGATTGCAATGAAAGTAAAATTCACGCTAATTTTTAACACTTTTTTAACACTAACACAATTTTTAACACTAAACCTACCGCGGTCAAAGCGACCGCTTTCTTATTTTGCAATTCTGCAAAGTTCCGAGACTCTTTCGTGGAAAACGCGTTGAATAAGTTATATTATTGGAGCAAGTTTTATAATAAAAACATTACAAATTCCGAATAAATTCGGTCTTCTCTAGTATTACTGCTTGGTAGGTTTAGTGTTAACTAATAATAAATAACTTGTGTGTTCGTTGACGAGCAACATTCGTACAGCTGTAACAGCGTTTGCCCGAAGTGTCCTATCAATTTCACGGAATTCTAATGAGAAAGGAGAATAAAATATAAATATTTACTATTGCGCTATTCGGACACTTTTCGAAACGCAATAACTTTGTTAGAACTGGTCTGAACGACTTGAATTTGGTTTTAGACGATAGAGCGACCGGTCTATTAGAGCATAACTAGAATTTTGCTATTACTTAGGATGACAAAAACAAATAAAAATTTTCGTCTTTTAACTTTCTTATCTGAGCTTATAACGAAAATTGAAAAAATGTGTTCCGTAGGGCTCGGTAAGTTATCCGCATGTTAACCCTTTGCACTCGAATGGCGACTCTGAGGCGCCACTAAAAATTGCTATACTATTTTTCAAAATAATTGTGACAGTATCAGACTCGTTTATATCTGAAAGACTTCTAAAATTGCAAGTTTTCTACTTGCCAATAGGCTTTCATACGCATAAATCGCAATAAATCGTATAAAATAAAAACACTGTAGATCAGAAAAAAAAATATGTTTAACATATAATTAAAATAGCTTCGAGTGCAAAGGGTTAAAAGTGTCCGAATATTAACGGGACTCCCCGTACATTGTATAAAACGTGAACAAATACAACAGCAAAGACAGCGCACAATTGCCGAAATATTTCGACAAGTAATAACAATTTTAACCGTCGACTCGAACGACCAAAGATTAATAATAACAACAAATAAATTTGGAAGCAGGAAACGGAGCAACCACCGGCACGGTGCACCTTTAAAATAGTCAGACAGCAGGTTGTAAATCTCTGTAGCAAAAGGATCGCGAGGACTTTAAATTTTAAATGTCTCGCGGAGTCGTTTAAAATTCTTCGCGCCGTCGATGGATGATGATATCGGAACTCGCCGTTCTCATATTTAGCGAAACGCGCGCGCCGCATCGCTGAACGCGCCGTCGTTTTCTCGGCGTCTGTTTCTCCTTACGTGTGCTGTGCTCGCGACGAGACGGCACGAAGCAACGAATCGAGAGGAAACCGAACGGGGCGAGTTTGTTGACACTGCACGCGGGGTGAACACACCGCCGATACCCTCGGTGGAAACATCGCGCGCCCACGAACGTTCCCTGGGCTAAACAAACGGGTCAGGTGTCCCTCGAAATCCGCGGCCACCCAGCGCCAGATGTACCCCGCCGAGCACCGTCTCCACCTTTGACGCGGGCACGCATGTTTATTGACAGAAAATAAACCGGTAGCGCCCGTTACATCGTAAAGACTACCCCTGCATTAACCTTTTAGGCACGACGCGCCACTATAGTCGCTTCCGCGGATGTCATCTTTCAGAACGACACTATAGTGGCTTGCTCTAGTAGCTCGCTCGCTCATCGTTCGAACCAAATAATCGTCTTCATACGCATTGTTTCACACTTCTTTTGTCTTCGCATCGATTTACAACAGTCAACAGGCTGTCCCAAAAATGTCTCGCAATCCGGAAATGGCGGGTTCTTCGGATCATTTGAACCAGCTTCTTCCTTTACAAAAATGTTCTCCGAGGCACCGTTAACGAGTTATCAACGAAAAACAGTGACCAATAAGAATCGAGTACGGCTGACGCGAGGCGGCCCAGCCAACCAGCGCGCGAAGCCTAGTTCCGCTCATTGGCTCGGTCGCCTCGCGCCAGCCGAGCTCGCCTCTCACTGGTCACTGTTTTTCGTTGATAACTCGTTAACGGTGCCTCGGAGAAAGTTTTTGTAAAGGAAAAAGTTGCGTCAAATGACCCGAGGAACCCGCCACTTTCGGATTGCGAGACATTTTTGGGACACCCTGCATATACAGTATCAGACTCTGCCGTCCAGAGAAATAGCCTCGCGCAGAATTCAGCCGTACCTAAAAGGTTAACATTCGGCTCGCGCCACGCACGCCGCTTTGTCCGATGGATCTACACCTATTCGGTGAAATTTTGATGGAGTTTGGCCACTGACAGCGGAACTACACCGTTGCTGGAACGAACTCCATTCGGACACAAGGCGTCGGTTACAATTATTATCTCGAAAATACGGATTTCGCGCATTCGTGACACGCAAACATGGGCGCGACGAAACACAACAGAATTTCCGGTGGCCGATCTGTTATTTAGAATCGGTTGTAATATATTATATTAATAACGGTGATATTATTAACGGCGAAAATGTAACGTCGTCCGACTTCATCGGGGCGAAAATGAGCGAGAGAAATGCGACAGAAGAATTCACGGATGACCGACACGCTATTTACCGGCAATTAAAATGATTAAGAGTGGAAATAGAATCTCATTTGACTTTGATCGCGACGAAAATGAGCGAGAGTGAGGCGCGCAACGCGAAGAATTTCGGATGATTGACGTGTTATTTACAACCGGTTCAAATCATTAAGGGAGAAAATAGAATTTCGTTTTACTTTATTACGTCGAAAATACGAGCGAGCGAGCGAGAGAGAGAGAGAGAGAGAGAGAGAGAGAGAGAGAGAGAGATATGCAATGGAAGAATTTCGGACGAATTTTCGCTGTTTGTTATCGGTCAAAATTATTAACAGAGGAACACACATTTTCTTTCATCGAGTCTTGTTCATTGTTGTCGTCGATGCGGGCAATTTTTATTTCGCATAAACATCCACGGTTCGATTTGAAAAATTTGACCGTGGTACTTGGAAAATTCATGCCATTTTCTTCGTCGAAAAATGCACCGGTATCCCGCGTCCATTTTATACGGCGTCGTTCTCTTTTTTAGCGTGTGCGTGCGTGAAAACGCTCGAACGGTCACGTGACCAGTTTTAATCGAACACTCTTTGTCCGAGGTAGCACTTATCAATATTCGAGCGACGGCCCATTCGTACAATTTAGCGTCGATAAATTGGCCGAACAGATATCGCGAATTTATTCAAATTATTCGTATCAAAATAGATTTGATATCGAGTTTGTACGTTTCTATATAAAAAAAAAGGGAGGATTCAAAAATTGAAAAATATACGTTCGCGGCGACCTCGCGGAAACCAGTATCTACCGCGCGAAACACGATTTTGAACCAGTTCGACGGTTTTTTAAGCAGTTTTTATGTTAGAAGGTTTCTTAAGACCGTCTGAAAACTGTTCGCTAGCGCTCGCGCGCGCATTAGGATCAGCGTCAATCGGTAAATCATAGGATCGTTCACCCTCGAATATCCATCGAAATTCGTGTTTTCTCGTGGTCGAACCAAGGGATCGCGATAGCCGACGCCATTTTGTCCGGAGCACGCGATCGAAGGTCCGATCGATGGACTCCGAAAGAGAGCTATAGAAGCGAAACCGACGTGCTGGCCAACGTGAAAAAACATCAGAACTCTCGCAGCAAAAATCCTGCCAGCGTCGTCGGAACAATGGAAGAAGCAACCCAACGCGTCCAACTTAAGCGCTTTCCATCGATGTACGTAATCCCGGCTCGCGCGACGCACTCCGTAACACAAAGATTCTCTCCACGCACCTTTTTTTCAAATTTCGAAATTCGTGCGCCGGTCCCGCGAGCCAGCCCCTCCTTCCTCAGCTTGGCTTCAGGTAATCCAAAAAAAAATATCCTGACCGGTAAAACACCCTCGCGATCTGTTCTCGACTGTCACGAACGAAGCGCGCCGCTTCTCGCGCCACTGTTGTGTGCTCACTCGAGTGCGTTCGCCGGATTAGGCGCAACGGAACCTTTTACGTGCGAAACGCGAAATCGAAAGGGTAAACGGTAACGCGCGAACCGAACACGGAAACGAAAGTAAACGGAAACGCGACGGAACCGAAACGGGAACTGAAAGGCCGCGCCGCGATATAACCGTCTTCTGTTTTCACTGTCACACCGAAGAATCACTTGTACGTCGATCACACGCGATACATCAAAACAAAGAGAAACTGCACACACGAGCAAGAGGGTTTGCCTCCACGTGGAAGCCGGCAACCACTGAATAAGAGCGTCCGTCACGTCGGAGCGGCAAGCCGAAACTAGCGCGCCGCGCGGCTCGCGAGCAGGGCGAGCCTAGCCTGCCTCTCGCTCCCTCTGTCGGCGTTCCTTCCTACTGTCTCGCTCTATCCTCAGGTATTCCCCCCTCCAACGCCGCGTTTCTGTTTCTCCGTCTCTCCGTCTGCCGCGCGCGAGCCCACTCCACTCGCCGCGGCGAACGACTCCCCTTCACGCGCGATCCACCCCTCTCTGCCGCACCGTTCCGCCGGTCGACGACGATCCCTTCTCCGCGAACGATCTCTTACACAGGCCAGCCAACCCGGTCCCTTTTCCAGCCGAGGTCCCTCTAGTCCGGCATACGAATATCCAGGCTCGTGTGTACCGTGCTCTTTCGTTCCCTACCCACTTGGGAGAAGCTCGCCGACGTTATGCACCGGTGCACACCGTGCACGCAACTTCGGGAACGATGCGGTGTTCCCGTCTCGCTCTGCTCGCCGGTGTCGAGCGGGTTCCGCCGAACGGCGATCCTCCTCTTCCACGTTGCCGGACCTCACCGACGCCGATCGTCCCGTGATATTCGGTCTTTGATGAATGGACTCGGGCCACCGCGTGTAAGTACACACACGGCGAATTTCAGGCGACCTATATTCACGGCGATGATTCACGGACCGTCGCAAGCCGGTGCGAGCTTCTTCTCCCGAAAAGTTCGTCGGAAGGGCAATTTTTGTGGTACATTGTCGCGTTGTTGCGAGCGCGTTTCGGAGAGCATCGAACGACGTTCGTGTGGCTTTTCGTGTAGCACATGGTTGCTGCGATGTGCAGTAATGTCTCTATAATCGACGCTTAGATTGTACAGGAAATTGGACAATTTGGGAAGAGGAGATACGATTGTTCGAGCCTTGAATCTTGTTTTTATAGTTGCGGATAATTCGGAACTGTAGAACGAGGCGCAAGACTCGATTTAATCGTAACTCCTCTTCCAAAATTTGTACATTTTGGGGCGCAATCTAAGCGTCAATTAGGGAGACATTACTGTATGTTGAACCTTGAGAATCTAGAGAAAGATGACCTTAAGGAAATCCGTTTGCAGAACGTTTTATCAATGCAATATAATTACGATACCTTGGTAAATACCCCATTACAATATGATATAATAACCTTGACATAACCTTGACATTACTGTATGGTGAACCTTGAGAACCTAGATAGATAACCTTAAGGAAACCTTGACATAACCTTGATATAACCTTGATATAATATAATATCTATATAATATAATAACCTTGACATGACCTTGACATAACCTTGACATTACTGTATGGTGAACCTTGAGAATCTAGAGAATGATAACCTTAAAGAAATCCGTTTGCAGAACGTTTTATCAATGCAATATAATTGCAATACCTTTATAAATGCCCCATTACAATATAATATAATAACCTTGACATAACCTTGACATTACTGTATGTTGAACCTTGAGAACCTAGCGAATGATAACCTTAAAGAAATCCGTTTTACGATACTTTTACAAATACCCTATTACAATATAATATAATTTTCGCAAAATTAAGTCTTTTACTTTCGTTCTCAATATGTCCTAATAAAAATCGTACGAAGTTGTGAATTGCGGCCAACCTTTTCTGCGATAGTAGCACTGTACGAGGTGGTGGCGCCACCGGCTTGGAATTTAATATTCCTTTATTAACCCTTTTATGAGCCATTTTAAAAGTGGCCTAAGTCCATTAATACTTAAATTGAGATATTTAAGGGTTTGTGTTTCGATGTAATTAAAAATATACGTACTGCTCAAGTGTATCTTTTTATACGTTTCTGTAAATTAGTCTAGATTTCCTTTTTTTCAATTCTATTACGTTTCATATTTTATGTAAAACAGGTTCATTATCGATAAAACTACAAGCTCACGCGTACATAAATAATTCATCACTTTGTAGAATGCTGATTTCTTGTTTCCTGAAAACGATTATTACTTATTCCAAATAGAATTGCTTAATCTAAAAAAACATTTCAGAGGACAAATTTCCCCAAAAAGTACAAATTTGAATGGATTTACAAATTTGCAAAAGTAGAAGTTAAAAAAAGAAAAATAGAAAGTTCTATTTTCAGTGTATGTATATAATAAATTGAAACAGAAATCCAACAATTTCGAAGCGTGTTTAAAACGAAGAATTTTTGAGGATACAAAGAAGTTCGTGTTGAAAATTCAAACCGATGTTAACTACTCGAAACAATCGAACCCCGAACGTTCGAATTTCTTTCGGAGCCGTTCTAGACCGCGTGTCTTCGATTGTTTGCGCTTCCTTTGTTTGCCCACTGCTTTTCGAACGGCTTCGAATTCCCGGAGAAAGTTTCGTGTGTTCTTTTTTTTTAGCTGTATGCTTTGGTTTCGTTCATACACCACCGTGTACGTGCCGTGAAAATTAATCTGCTATTAACAGACATTAGAAACACGAAAACGCTAACGAGACGTTTCCGAACGTTTCCTGCCGTGGAACGTAGATCTTTTAAAATGTCGATCCGGCTTTTCTATCGATCGATCGTTGAACTCGAGGTACGCGTGTATTGTAGATTGTATCGAATTTGCCTTTGTCATTCGCGCAGAAATAACTTGCTCGCATCGAAGCTTAATTGTTGGAATAGAATTAAGTTCCGCGGATTCATGAATCATTAATAATGGCATTTGCAATTCTATCACGGAGTCTAATACCTTATAATTGAGAGCTTGATAAATGGGCATATTTCTTCGATGATTGATACGCGCGCCTCTTGAAAAATATATATATAGGCGCGTCTATCTAGATCCGTCACTCATTTTAACATCATTAGCAAACTTCACCGTCAGATTTTGAAATTGGGTTAACAATTTATTCCGCTTTAGCCGCAGTCACGCTCCATCCATCAGCATCGGGTAATTTAATGTTTTATCGCTTCGTAATTTGTATTTCTTCAATTATGAGCACCTACTTCTGCGTTAAAGAACAGAAAAAGGGGGCCTGATGCGTGTCGGATGACCTCGATATTCGTTCTGACAATCGCGCACGACTTGCAATATTATCGGAAGCTGCGAGGCCGATTATCCGACATTGCACCCTGGAGCAGCCATGATCTGCAACGAAGATTGCTATATCATTCCGTTTCGAGAAATCGGCAATGATTAACGCGACATCTGCGTTACCATAATATTTGGTAATTGCCGATTTGTTCAATGAAATACAAAATTTTTTTTACTTGGAACGGAGTTTAATCTGTAATATATTTTCCATTTTGTTCGATGACCTTTTTTCGTCACGTTTCATCGACGTTTACCGAAACAACGAATCTTGTTCTCCACGAGTCTCCCGATCGATCCGGAACAAAATATAAAACGGAGCCTTTTTTTCATAATCGTCGGAGAATCCTGTCTAGAAAAAAGAAAAGGTACAAAAAGAGCGACAATACGCGGCCCTGAAAATTCATCGAAGTGAAAATTGTCCGCGAACGTCATCCTTAATTTAACGGTTTACTCGAGGCTCTCCCCTTAAGCGAACGCTCAGTTTCTAAAATTGCGCCGAAGGTTTTTGCAACGTGTTTCCTGCACGGCCCCGGAGGAAAGTTTCACGAGTGTCTCTTAGCCCGAGGCATTTCAGAGCCCGGCGGGCCTCTAGGATCGGTTTTAAAACTCGTCGCGTCTTTTATTTCTCTTTCTTTCCGTTTTTTTTCTTTTCTTTTTTTGGCCGGCCAATTTGTAAGCGAAGGATCCCCGCGGAATTAGCCGAGGCCCGGCCTCTCCAACCACCGGCGGCAGCCATTATTTACAGTCCCGATATTCCCGCGTTATTGTTGACCCCCGTGTTTCCTCGGTTTTCTCTTATTTACTGCCTCGTTAAAGCCGCCTTACACGGAACTTATCGTATTAACTATTGTCACGCGATCCATCGATCAATACATTGTTCCGCGGCGCAAAGTTTGAACAACAGGTATCGTTAGTTACGCGGCCATTCAGAAAATTGACATGTAAAACAAAGTGGACCCAATTTACGGCGCGGCACGATGAATCGCGCGCATCAAGTCGTAGCCCCGTCGAAGCGCCGCCCCAAGATTTATATGCCCCGGTGCCAATTTGCACCGGCCGTGTAATGAACCGCGGAGCAACTAAGGTAATTACTTGATTTCGTTCGCCTGGCGAGCCGAGGCTGATTTTCGGACAACTCTCGACTCCGCTCGAAAGCGGAATCGAGATCTTCGAGTGCGCTTCAACGAGGGGCGCTTGCGATTTCTGCGTCGATGGCCCTCAAGTCGGAACACCGCTTCTCCTCCTAGCGCCAACATCGTCGAACGATTACGACGGTTCTTCGTTTTGTCCATTAACGCTTTGCGCTTTGTTGCACGGTTACTCGCTGAATTCGATTCTTTTCATTTCGCGAGCAGTCGCATCGAGTCACGCGCGATCACGCGAACAAGTGACTAATTCTTCCTAATTGGTTCTCAACTTGGAGACGAAAGTGGACAATTTGGGAAGAGGATGTATGAGTATATATTATTGTATTATATTATTTTTTATTGTAATAATATATATAATCATATATAATATATATGATTATTATATATATATATATAAAGGAAGAAACTGCTTCAAATGACCCGAGGAACCCGCCATTTCCAAATTGCGAGACATTTTTGGGACACCCTGTATATTATATTATATATTATTTCTCGTTTTTATAGTGGTTAACAATCGGCAACTATAAAAACGAACCGAGTTCGCAAGGCTCGAATAATCTCCTCTTCCCAAATTGTCTATTTCCGTGTACAAGCAGAGGGTCAATTAGGGAGAATTTACTGTAAATAGTCGAGAGATTGGAGTATGATTTTAAACAATTCACTGCGACCACAGTCTGACAGACACCATTGAAAATATTGTTTATTGTTTCGAGTACTTTGAATGTTTCGTCCATTCTTGTCACCGTGCAATGCATGTTACATTCAAATTCTACGTAAAATTTAACATCACATTCAGTCTATAAACA